TGCGAATGATCTGTATGCTTGAGCCATACGTCCGTCTTCGGCTATCTTCAAAAAAGTGCACTGTTTGTGAATGCAAGCCCAACGTTGAATATTGTTAGCCAATAAGCCAATGATTTGTGCCAACGGAATTTATCAACAACGATTAGGGTTATACCTTTCTCACTAAGCATTGATTCGAACTGGATATTCTCCATGATAAAACAAAAAGTTAATAGAGAAAATAATGCAAATACTGCAATTGTTTGAAAAGGGTGTGATGCGTTCGTAACCGTGACAAGAAGTTAAATGGTTTCAAATTTTGGATTACGTTCCATAATTAGATTTTACCCCCACCCATTTTTAAATGGGGGGTTGCGCCACGCGGAATTTCAGGTACAAATTTTGGCCATGAGACGCAACTCGAGGGTTCCAATAAGAGATCCAGGACGGAACTCTGTGTACTTACTGACCAACGACGGAACTAGTCCCAATTATCTGTACCTATTATTGAGACAATAAATTATATTGTTATATATGGCAAACCGTTGCGTTGCGGTTGTATACTCTGGTCACAGATATTTAAACTATGCTCTGGTCAACACTATTCGGGTCAGTTACGTTTTACCGCCTGTAGTGTATACATATATGGTATTTGGAAGTTCAAAATTGTCAAAATGTCAAGTACTGATACAGCTGAAGAAACTGCTAACTTGTGTCCCTACACTCTACCTACGAAAAATTCCTATACTCAGTCTAATATTGAAAAAAAATCGGTCGTTCCAGTAGTGCGACTCTGTACAAGCAGCCTTGTCTGGGAAATCACGTGCACGATTCTTGCAGATATTTTTCGTTGGAATAAACAACGGGTATTAGCCAAGGAAGTAATTGTTCTCCGGTCGGCATTTGCCAGCTCCTACCGCGAAAGAGCGAATTTCTCTTTGAAATATTTATTTTTATACTTCTATTACTTTCAAAGATATCGAAGTAATGAATAGTTTGCACATTCTGGTTTGCTTAATATTCTGATGCGATAACTAGTAGACTCGAATGTCCCACTTCTTCAGTACGTCACTGACCAATATATTAGAAGTTTTAGATGTGACCTAATTTTCTTGTGGATCGGAGATGTCGTAAACGGGACCAGCCATAAAAGTTCTTGAATTAGGTCAATGTTCACTATAATTTCCTTGCGTGGAATGTTTTTGTCTTGTCGAAATTGAGTCGGTCAGATTGACAGATTACTGATTCCGAAATAAATATGGACCCTTTCCAAATCCAGAAGAACTGCGGCTTTCTAAATATCCTATTTGTTCAATGAATGGAAGTTTTCACAGCCGACGCGCCGGTTCTAAATAAGATAATTTTTAGAGTAATTTGGAAGTAGTCTGAAATGTTACTACATGATGTCTCGTTCTCAAAATTTCGAAGAGCATTCTTAAAAGTTTCTCTACTAAAACGGCCAAAGTGTAATTATAATAATAAAAGTGTGGATAATTTGCTAACCAGAAAATGATCGCCCAAATAAGACATTCATAATCCAAAGAAAACGTTCATAATCGAAAGCATACAGGGTGATTCAAAAGTACTTTGAAAACTTCAAGTCGATTATTTGATAATCGATGCATCTTGAAGTTATTACGAATATTTTGCATTTTTCACAAGAATGCTTTGGAAATAAATTTGACGTTTGTGAGTAGTTTTGGTAATTACATATTTCGTGACAGTTAGACGTTTTGTTGAAGTTTCCGTAAGTAGAAGTAGAAAACACCTATTTTGAAAAAATGGATTACTTAAACAATAATGCTCATTTAGCCGATATGCATTTCGTTTATGGCCTTGCGGATGGCAATGCGCGCGAAGCAAGACGTATTTACCAGTAGCGATTTCTTAATCGAGTACTGCCTTCAGCTCCAACATGATGTACACATCTTTGTAGGGTTCATTTTGAAATGAATTGCTTTTTTCCTTCCCACAAGTTTTGTATAGAAATGAAGAAGTAAAAAGCCAAAACCTTAATTTCTTAATATTGTAATTACTTTTTCTTGAAATCTACTAGTTTTCCTATTATTAATAATTAGTAACTAATTAAGTTCTGCAACTACTGTTGCATGAAATGCATGTACCAGATCAAGTGAAGGAACTACTGTGTAGTGAAACACGTCTTCAGTAAGATTCAGAGTATGAAAATTGTTCGTTTATTATGCCCAGTGTTAACTTCGTTCAAGTAAAGGACGAGTGTAGATAATCATATACAAAAATAATGGATTTTGTTTAGATGAATTGAAATATCAATCGAAGACAGTATTATAAAATATCACAGTAAGAGTTTATGTAAAAAGCATAGATGTCTGATATCTATGTTTTTGTGAAGTTCTTGAGCTATCTTCATTGATAAATAGAACCCCTTGAATGATTTATGTATAAGTAATATTGTAGACCCCCTGCCCAGGATTATATTATTGAAGTATGTTAAGAGCAGTTTTCTATATGAAATAATACATAATTTAAATAAAATGTGTACTCAAACAGGTAATGAGGTGATCATCACTAGAAGCCAAAAGTGTACACGAAGTGGTGATTTTCTTTCCAACTCTTCTTACAATCTATTACTTTTTTGATTGCATCGCAGGGTAGACGTAGAGATTTTTTCTGAATTCCTCAATGTTATTAATGAAGTAAGTCGCATCATCATCTTTCCCCAACATTTTCATCGACAATTTTTCTGGAGATGGATCAACTGTAATAAAACCATTAAACTTATAATAATTATGCCTTTACTTTCAATAGATGTACACGTAATTATAGGAAATATAGAATGTTTTGTTACACATGTAAAAATGCAGTCCCACAAATATAGAAGTTTTAAATTGAAAGGTATATACTTTTAGGAGAGAATATTGTACAAAAAATGTGGGAATCTTACAAAGAAAAGAAGAAAGCAATCAATTTCAAAAATGAACTTATTCCAAAGATGTGTAATTCATGCAAAGAAGTAACTTTCGGACACAAACTGGAAGAAAAATAACTACTTTCATACAAAAGAAAAATACTTTCAGCATTGAATTATACAAAAAAAACACTTTTTCCTATTCAGTTTGTACACTTTTTTCCTTTCTTTGAAAGATTCCTACATTTTTAAATTTCATACTCATTGTTCATGTTTTTTATTTTATTCGTTAATAATGTTTCATTACATTTTCTTTCATTTGTTTATGAACTTTTGCATTGTTTTTTGTAATTAACTCAATCGATTATTTCAGTACTGTTAATTTTGGTATTTTCAATATTGTTAATATTTCATTCATTTTTCATTTCTTCCAATTTATTATTCTCATTGATTTCAAATCACTTTCAAAAAACCATGAAATTTCAAGGATTCAAAAATGACATCTTACTTAATTCTGATTTTCGCCTATTCTTACCATTGCTTGGGAGGTGAAAATAGCGAAATCACAAATATCAAATAAGTGCCCACCTTTACAAAAATTGAAGAGTTCTTGCGTTTTTCTAAAATGTTTCTACAACTCTGTTTCGTTTTAGTTTGTCATTCCTGTATATCAAAATCAATACAGTACCAAGAACACTCATGTTTGTTAAAATGTTTGATGCAGATACTTTTAAGTTAAGATAACTAGCCATTGTACTGTGGAGTTTTTTTTATTCACATGAAAACAAAAAGTGGGGAAGTCAATTGGACCTAATACTAATACTACTCTTATTTAAAGCTCGATTAGACTGTTAAATTATAAGTCGTAAAATTGATAAAATGTTCCAAATAATATTTTATGATTGATATTTTATTTATTCATTGACACTTATTCTATTGAATAAAATGTATAATTGATGAATGTATATGTTTATACACTGCTTGCTTGTATAACATTTTTATTTTTATCTTATTCTATTTATATTTCANGCATTATTGCCAACCATCGCAGTTATTGGCAAAACGTTTATAGCTGAATCTCTACACTGGACTATGGCCATACAGACTTCATAACCGCAGTTTCCATTTGACTTGAACTGTGAAAGCTATCAGTATGTGAGTCATCTTTACCCATATACCCAGTCAATAAGGACTTTTATCTTAAAGTTGTGTGCCGCCTACGAAAAACAGTGCGAAGAAAAACAATTCCTGGCTTTTGCAACGTGTATTCACCAGTTATGGCCACCTGCGACTTTTTTCTATTCCCGAAATTGAAGATACCAAAAACGTGGTTTTGCGACGACTGAGGAGATAAGAACTGAAATGCCGAGAGAGCTCATGAACATACTGAAAAGTGAATATCAGAACTGCTTCAAGAATTGAAAAAAAACTTGGCACAACTGTATAATATCTGAGGGGTAATACTTTGAAGGGGACAAAATATAAATTTATGAATGGATACATTTTTGAGAAAAATGAAAAATCAACTATTTTTTTAACAGAGTAGTATAACTTTTTCCACAGAAACAAGGTCTATTGTAAAAACACTATTTGGTTTTTAAAACCGTATTCTCACGTTTCATCAGAAGATATCTCAGTTAATGGTTCACAAAGTTCTCAGATATGTGTGTTGTTGTTGGGTATGTGATGATTATTTAATCTGTATACGTGGGTCACTGTTTCTACCAAGTTCATTGAGAGCTCTTCTTTCTATAAAGTATTCCAGATATGCGTTCTTATTCCAAACAGTTTTATCAATAGATAATTTCTATTCCAGATTATGAACTCTTTCAGCCCTATCATACAAACTTTTGGCTATACCCATTTCAACACTAGGATGATAATTAGGAGATATTATATCTGTAGTGATGGAATGTGAAGTGCCAAAATACTACTACTTTTTTTAAACAATTCACGACTTGATCAAAGTTAAACCAAAAATAATCAACTCTCAGGTAACCACTGTCAGAGATCAGGTTGATAGCAGTTAGCTAGTAGTTTGGGAACAAACGCAAGATCGAAGTGTTATCCATTAGTTGTCCTTGGTCAAAAATTCCAAAAAAATTTCATAATACATGGATTTAAAATGACTCACTTTGCGAATGTTGCTGGTTTCAGAAGTCTGTTGTAATATCCCTTTAGTTGTTTATCCTTAACAGCATCAAACAATTTTTCCGTTATATGATCTCCAAGTGTAACAATGTACTTTGCAATAACTTCAATCAACACCTTGAAACAGAAGTAATGTTGGGGTATAGAAATTTACAAGTTTAATAATTTTTTAAAAAGAAACTGACAACTTTTTAGTCCACATACTAAAACTATTCAAATAAAAACCTCATCTATCAACAACTTACTGGCAACTTTTCATTGAAACCATCAACTTTTATTAAAACGCCTCGTTCGTAGAAACTCAAATGGTGTGATAACTCAGCATTAGTGGCTGGATAAACTTCTTCAGCAATAGAAAACTCCAGCAAATTCATCAACATTTCCGTAAGGGTGGCTCTAAAAAATGAAATTATTTCCATGCTGTTCATATTTATAAACCTATCACTGAAATACTCCTAAGTAGCGAATATTCAAAATATGTTTTTTGAATATTCGGAGTATACATTTTGATTACTCAATGATTTGAATCATATTTATATGATTTGAATATCAGTTTTGAATCATTTTTGACTAACAACTGAAAGAGTTATGAGTTCAATTTTATTTGAATATGTTTGATAGACATAAATCTTCAAAATATTAGGTTATTTCAAAAGTTTTGTCCGTATTAATGTCATGTGTTTCTTTAGCTTCATATTTCAATACATATTCATTCTTCTGTGTAGTGGTATATAAAATTAAAATATTATTAAAATTTTGCCTCTTTTCAAATTTAAATTAGACCAAAGCGCTGAAAAATTAACCAGACAATTTGCAATGTATCAGCTGTCTCTACGGAACCTTCGGATACCGGACGCCCTCTCGTCGTAGTATTGCCTTGTCACGGTAATGCGGGGCTCTGCCGTGATTGACCTTCTTTTCCTAGCTACTCGTGGGACTTTTATGGACAGAGTAAACTTGCTTACGACTCCAACTGACCTCCTTGTGTCCCTACACTCTACCTACNATGGATGTCGAGTTTACGACTCCAACTGACCTCCCTGTAAATTTAGTTCAGGAGCGAGAGCTTCTCAACTCCCCAACTCCTGATCCAATAACTGAACCTGAAAAAAAAAAGGTTTGATGGTGCAGCCAGGAAACGACTGAGTTGTCTCCTCAAGAGCGGGGTACCTTATAAAACCGCCTTGCACCAAATTTTTGAGCGACGTACTCAGAATCTGTCTCAGGTGGAGGAACAAACCCCCCATGAGCAAGTTAGCAAATGTTTGCGCTCAAGTGGTGATTCACCAAAACCAGAGGAAAAAAAGCCCTGCAAGGTTGAATCTAAGGCATCGTCAGGTGTAGCTGACATGCAAAAACCCTCATATGGGAAGGTTGTCGCGGGTATCAAGGTGGGAATCTTGCACCTTGACTATCCGACTACGTCATTATCGATGAAACAGCAGAACATATACGTTGTGCCTGCCCCGCTGGGGACCGAATCAGGTTTCTGGTGCAGGTGTTTTTGGACTTCTGGCAGAATATTCCAGGATTGGCTCACTCCAAGGCGTTTATTCACCCTTCGAAGCTTGATACCAAACAGTTATTGGACTACAGTAGGGATGAACTACGATGTCTAACAGGCCTTCTTACAGATCACTATCATTTGAATCATCATATGCAGAGACTTGGACTGTCGAAAGACAGTGTGTGTCGCCTCTGTTTGAAAAATGATGAAATAGCAGAGCATATACTTTGTGCCTGCCCCGCTGGGGACCAAATCAGGTTTTTAGACTTCGGCAGAGCTGTTCTCTTACCATCTGACCTGAAGGACCACTCACCATACAAACTAATCGGCTTCGTTAAGAAGCTGGGTTTATTTGGTTGAGTGTGAATAAGTGTGAGCCACAATAAACCCTTGCGGGTTGTGGTGGAGGGTTGAATACACCTACTCACTTTGGACCTAACCTAACCTAAGTGTTAATTAACGCACTGTTCAACGTCAGTTTACGAAATTTCGTTCCGGTGATTTTAGTTTTTGATGGTTCGAAACGTATTGGAAAGGTCAAGAAGATCGAAAAAAGGGTGCCCCACTATTTGAATGATCGACAGAAATTGTCACAGGAGACGTTCAGGACGGTGGTTGGACACTGACGAGCCATCTCAAAGGAATCCACCAAAAAAAGACCAATGTTACCGCAATGTAAGCGGCTGGTGTGAAAAAAATAATAAAATCGTTAGGCGTAGTATTTAAATATTTACTAAGGTTACGTCACGCCCAACGATTTTATTATTTTTTTATCTGATCAATACCGTAGATTGCTGAGGACAGTGGTGTGATGACCTTCCAAATAACATTATCTACATCATTATTATCTTTTTTTTTCAATAAAAACCGTTTAACATTAAACACAAATTTTGACTTATTTTATTTTCAAGTTTTTAGTTTCTAAATGTTATCCACCCTAATGCCACACAGTTCTCGACACGTTTTAACCTTTTACCTCAACTTGGGTGGTGTATTGCCAACAAAGTATCATCCGAAGATGATTGTGGATACTAACAATCGAAACGTCGTGAAGTAACTTGGTTTGGAGTCTTTTAATTTTATATTTTCAATTTTCATTTCTTGTTAATAACACAACACAACAAAGTTTTTGTTTCAGGGTTGAAATTAGATGATTTTAATGTATTTCCACGTGTTAAAACCGAAAGTGACCATAAAAATTATATATTAGCTCTTGTTTTCAAGATATAGTATCATTATATTATATATATGTATATTGAGTTTTCAACAAATGAAATATTTCATCACCAACAGTTGGTACACATGTTTGTTTACATAACACCCCTCTCATCAGCTGTTCTTAAGTAGTAAACATAACCTATGTGAGTTTGTCAATTGTA